GAGATCCAACTCCAATTTCCAAACACTTTACCACACACATCCCCCATATGACTATGTATGACTTTGGACTCAATGATACAACATAAAGAAAGATTCTTTAAATAAATAAGATCATGTACCTCCTTTTGCTTTATTAGGGCATTTAGACCCCTAATATTCCACGCAGCGATCTTTATCATTGAGAAGTTGAAGTGGGTTTTGCCCCTTTACTATAATCCAAAGAGTGCCCCTCAGTGTCAATTATTTCCATATCATCATCATCACTAGAATCATCAGAAGGGAGTGGGGAAAAATCTATTACTAGTAGACGTAGAAGAAACTGCACCACGTCTTGGTTTCATCGCTTGGATCACTCCTTTAACAAGTTTTGGCCCCCGCTTTGATCGAAAAGTCACATTCGCTACATCATCTCTTCCTCTTGGCGTTCTCCCCTCATCCACCGTACAATATTGACTTTCATCATGTCCAAAAGGAGTCTAATTGGGTGATGTTGACACTAAATGGATCATCATTAAGATGTTTACACCCTGATGGGTTTAGTGTGCCCATTTCTCCACGAGGAGTCTAATTGACTCAAAATAACACTAATTGGGTCATATCTAGTTTGATTAGACCTTAATGGGTATAATGGGCTTATTTCATCTATTTGAGTCTAATTGAGGTATAATGGTACTACTGAAAGGGGAAGATTCCCCAGGCAATTTTATAAAGACAGTAAAAAAGTCACCAAAACAATACAATCAGCAAGAGAAACTACGGCAACCTTGACTCACAAACCAAGTCATAAGGAGCCAAAACAGACAAAGGGAAATACACCAAAACATAACAACACCAAAAGCCAACAATAAAAAGCCAAACGAAACCCAAAAGAGCCAATACCGAAAAAGCACACCACCCACGAGCTCACATGCCATTTGGATTCCTAATCTTCTTCCTTGTCTTCCACGCCATTCGATGAAGAATCAGCATCTTGATCTCTGTAATAACTTTATCTTCCAAAAGATTGAAATTGGCAAAGAACTTCCTGTTCCGCTCCCTCCAGATGAGATAAACCGTTGCTGAAAGACCAAGTTTTTGAACCGTAGACCGAGATCTCCAATTTTGAGTGGACCCTCTCTGAAGAATATCCTCCCAATTGTTAGGAAAATTCAGTAGTCCCACCTCCCTTTTAATAGCGTCCCAAATACTGCTGGAATACTTGCATTCAAAAAATAGGTGATTGTGCGTTTCAATCACAAGGTTACAAAAAACACACTTTAAATTTGGCGGTTCATGCTTCCATTGACGAATACGATCTTGAGTTGGCAGTTTCATCTGACATGCCATCCACATGCAAAGAGCATGTTTAGGAACGTAAGCTTTATTCCAAACAAGTTTAGACCAATGCACAACCGGCTTTACCTCTTGGATAGTATTCCACGCCCTTTTTACCTCAAAGTCACCCCGTAAAAGTTTGTTATCAAGCCAGTTAACCTTATCTTCCTCTTGACTGGGAGCCGGAATCATAACACCGTGCAGTAATTAGCCTAATCAGACGTTAATGTGAGTAATTGAGGAGGAATGGGTCTTAATTGTCCTTAAGGGGACCATTTGGTGTTCGTAGATACAATGGACCTTTTCTCCTTAATAAGTCCAAGTGGATCAAAATGACTTTAACTAGCTCATAATGTGTCTGATTAGACCCTAATGGGATTAATTGGACCATTTCTCCAAAAGGAGTCTAATTGGGACAAGATGACAATAAATGTGATAACTGGATCTTGGTTATCACCTGAGGTAAATAATATGTGATTATTTGTTATGTGTTTACCTGACAGTTGATAAACTGATACATTTCAATCATATTAGTATGTGAAAATGTGCATAATATATATGCATGAATGAGATTATGTGTATATGTGGATGCACATGTATTTGTGATATATATGTATATATAAGATATGCATGCATGTATGCACATGTATCCATGAGTTTGGTTATTTGTTTAATTTTGAAGGCATGTATATGGTGTGCGGCTGTAGTGGCCGACTTTCCCTGAAGGGAAAGTATAAAAGGAGGGTTTGATACCCATTTTATTCTCTTGCCATCTTTGAAATAAGTTGAGCGATTCAAAGAGAAAAGAAGTTGACCGGATTCTTTTTGGAGCAAAGTAGATTCAAATTGATTTCAAAAGAATTTTAAGGTGAGTGTTTTATATTGTTTTTAAAACTCTTCATAATTGATTGTAGGAACTTTACTCTTGTTTTAAAAAGTTAAATTTTTAGAGTGTTGTTCGATTTAGTCTTAAACCGGCCAAGAGTCAGGCGGGTTAGCCATAAACCGGATAAGAGTTAGGCGATTTAAGCCCTAAAACGGTCAAGGCATAAGCGGTTTAGCCTTAAACCGGTCAAGTGTTAATCGATTTATAAATATTGAGTTTATGTTTTGAACGTTGAAGTATGAATACGACCATGTGTTGTCTGGATTTGTTATCCAGACAAAAGTGTTGGAATTCTCGTAAGTGTTAAATCGGATGAAGCTTTGAGAGAGCTGTCCGGATTAGTAAGTCGGACAAGGGTCTTGTGTTGACCGGATTAGTAAATCGACCAACACTTGACCGGAGATGAAGTTCGGCCAAGTTTGTGTTGACCGGATTTGTGCTTTGACTTATGTAATGTTTATACAATTGTTATTCTTATTATTCTTGTATAAAGAATGTGTATTTTGTTAAAGAATGATTTTTTTGAACTAATGATATTCCATTAGAATATTTATGACTACGGTCTGTTCTAATTGAAATTGTTTTATGAAAAATGTTTTGGCGAGGAAATAAGGGTGGCATATCAAGGAGAGGTGTACCATGGGATAAGGGTGGCATATCAAGGAGAGGGGTACCTTTGGATATAAGGGTGGCATTTGTATGTGTGTTATGTGATATAACTCCTACTATTATATCATTTAAGATTACCATGATCTGGAATCTATTTCTTTGTGACTTAAAGGTTTAGGATCAGGATTCTTATTGGATTTTCTTTTGCTGTTTTGACCATTGCTTACTTCACTTATGTTTGCCAAAATAGACCTTGTTTGCTTAAGCATTTGATTTGTTGTTTTATTTTAATCAAAGGTTCAAAAAGTATTGCTGCCTTAGCTGCTTAATGATATCCCTTGTTTGCCTCACTTGAAACATGTTGTTGTTTTATTGATCCTATATATTGTTGTTTGATATGCATCAGTGACTGTTTTAGGAGAAGCCCTTTTTTATCCTTTCCTCTTTGGCCTTCCTATGTTGTTTTATGTTAGAACAATGCGAATCCTATTGTTTGGTTTTCCTTTGATCTGTTTAAAGGTGATGCAGTCCTTTATTGGACTGATTGTTGGTTTGCTGCTCATCCTTGGCTCATCCTTACTCTAGGGTCACTATGACCTAGAATTGGATTGTTAGTATTAACTATTAAGTCTTTTCTTTAAGTCTTGAGTCTTTCTAAATCTCAAAGATGATCAAGTCACACTTATGACTTATCATCTTTGCTTTTCTATTTCAAAAGTCTTTAGGATTGCGTCTTATTTATTCTAAAAACAATCAATTCACACTTGTGATTGGTCATCTTTGCTTTTTTGTTTCAATCTAGATTTTTGGGAACTGATTTTAGTAGCATGCATTCTTTTGGCCATCTATGCACCAAAAATAGAATAAATGAGGATGTTGTTGTACAAATGCTTGACTTGATGCCATAGCCTCAATAATCCAAAGCTTACCCATCTTTGTTTTGATTATGCCTCTAGAACTAGCCAACCATTTCCAAAGCTTTACATTGATTCAATTGGGCCTTTATTTCAATTGGCCAATTTGTAGCCTTGATACAATCACAATGAGGACATTGTTTCCCTTAAGTTTGGGGGAGGGTCCTAAAAACACAAACACAATAGAAACACATGAAACATATATGCACTAAGACCAAAAGACAAACAAAAGGACATAGTTCCATGTCTTGTGCATACAAAAGAGTGTCAAAGTACACCAAATTGTTTGAAAAGGACCAAAGTGTCCAAACATACCTCAATATTAAATGCATAGCAGTAAAATTATGCTATGGAGTGAAAAAGAGAGATGAGGTAAAAGGCATGCATTGAAAAGAAAAAGCCAAATGCAAAACTCAATTCAAAGTCCCAAAACCTTTGTTGAATCCAATGTAGCAATAGAAATATAGGCTAGCTTATGGTTTGGCAATATCAAAGACTTAAGTTTGGGGGATGTAGGTTTATGAAGGGCTATGGATAACAAGCATCAAGCATGAGTATAACACTTCATTCAAAAATTTCAACAAAAAGCATATATTATCTATTGA